AGTTTACGGACTACGGCTGTTTGAAAGGTTTTCTTCCATAAAATTAATCGATTCTAGACTAATTTGACTCAACATTTCCAAAACACGTATAATTTTTGGGGAATAATCCGTATAAACTATTTTATAAACAAAAAGTTGTAGGATTACTTACCAGTGTGCACCGTTCGACGACGCCATTGCTTAAGCTTGTTTTCGTCGCGGAGCAGCGCACTAAACGGCGGGCGCGTTTTCTGATAAGTTATTTTTCTGCGAAAAATTCGTTGAACTTTGGGGACATCATTAATAGAAATAATTTTTATGGCCGTTGAATAAGAAATGTTTTTTTCACAAGAAATGTATAAAATTACAGTACTGTATTAGACTTACAGTACCTAATTTATATGCTGTACAGACGATAGTAAACTCAACTTACCCGCCGAAACTCTCCATAGCGTGTAAGTATTCGGCTGCACGTCCAGTATTGGTCCAGATTCGACCAATCCTGTCGCGACACGAGTCGGCGATGACGTTTTACCGCATTTTACGAGTTTCTGTTAGTGTCTTTATACGAATACGGTCGCAATTTTTTCGCCGCGATATACGAATCCGCATTATAAGAATCCGCGTTATAGGGGGTCTACTGTATTCATTAAATCCGATTCTATCCGCGATACGACGACACGTTACCACCTCTATCTTCCCACCCTTCGACCTTTAACCAACGAAATTTTATACTGCCTAATTGACCCTACTGCCTAAATTTCCCTGCAAAATTTCAGAAATTTTAGACAAAAGACATAGGAGTTATTATTAATTAAGTTTCAAAGTGAGTGAACAAAATCGTGCCCCCTCCCCATACACACATCCATAAATACAGGAAAAATACCTAACTTTTTTGCATTTCTCGATGCTTTAGGGTGCCACGAGTCAAAAAAGTAAATAAATAAATTTTCGGTGGGGTAATTTTTGACCTATCACTATACACAAGTTCCACGTGTTATCCCTGTGTTATATATAACATGAGAGAAAGTAAAAGTTTTAACAAATTATATATTCACGTATACTTAGATTAATATATAATTCATCAGCATTTTTACAGAATTATGAATTTTGTACAACCATTTTTACATAAATTCATATCAAAATATAAGAACAAAGGTTAATAATATATATTGTGTATATATATATATATGTGTGTGTGTAAATGAATAAATAATGCTTTAAGGTATAAATTATTATGAATTTTTGAATAGTTTGTTGGAATTTTATCAAGATAAATTCCAATTATTTTGATAAAAGTTTGTATAAATTCGAAGAATATTTAAGATTATCCTTCAAGAAAACGAAAAGTTATTTTCAAAAAACACGTAAACAGCGAAACAATTGAAGGGAAAAAAACTAAATAAAAAGTCCAAATAATTGGATAAATGTAAACGTATTTAAAAGCCGACTTGGCTCTTATTATCTTTAAATAATTAATTTAACTTAAAATTGATTCGAAAGATAATTTAGTTTTAAAATATCAAATTAAGNGAATTTTATTTATTTTCCATGTCACTCGGTTTGGAAAAAATTCTCTGAAGATTACGGGAGACTCCTGAAAAATCTATATGTCTTGTCAATGGAACTTAATGAAGGAAAGAGCCTCTGGTAATCTTGTGGATAATCTCATCACTTGTTGTCATTTAGTGCAATCAATTTGAAGCCTGGGTCAATAAAAATGCCACATACAAGAAAAAGGTAGAAATAACTTAAAATTTGATTAGAAAGGTCACCTTCTGGTCGTTTTTTCTTCTCGAATTAAACAAATATTTACCAATAGAAAAGGCGTTACCATCGTACAATTAAACGAAAATATCGATTTCCACTCTTATGTGTCCTTATTACCCGATACATTGCCATTTTCTCATAAGACCATTTGTTATTTCGCGATTCTCCGGATTATGTTTTATTGTTTGGCTTTGATGTGATAGTGGCATGTTCTCACATTCGCCTAAGCGTTAAACTTAGCTAATTTGTACAGATTTTATAATAATAATAATAAAAATACTCAAAACTTACGTAATTTTCTCTTAAATCGGGATGCATATAATCGACACCTATATAAATATAAATAATCTGTAAAATTATTTTTTTAATAAAAAAAACCTCCAGATTCAATCTGCATTTTAATGGTGATAAAATATACTTTGGTGGTAAATAATTTAATCTAAATTAGTCATTTTTATTATAATACGTACCGTCATCCATAATAGCTGTTGTGACATTTTTCCCTGTGTATCCTTGAGCCCAAGCAGCTTCCACATTCAGATCTAATTTAGGTTTACCTCCATTTTGTCCGACATTTTTCTAATAAAATCGAAGAGAAAGCAAGAAATAATCTAGATTTATAACAAGGAAACAATATAAAATTCGAAAAAAATTGTATTTATGTATTGAATTTACATTAAATCACAGTAACATATTTCTTCTATTCATGAAAAAAACCGATGAATTTATTTATTCTTCTTCTCAAAAATGCATTATTTATAACTATATGAAATCTGAACGTTTGATATATTACGAAGCAATTCACTTACCATTATACTAGAGGATAATATTATTATAATATATTTGAAGTTTAAGGTATTATAATCCTTTGTAACTGGAATGCTTTAAACACTTTGTTTGTTGTTAATCACGCTTTAAACTGATTTCTATGTAGAAAGTTAAATATTTTTATGAAAGATTCATTTTTTTTCTTCCTTCTTTCCCTTTCAAAGCGGATACTCCTCAATTTACTTACTCGGGACATTTACTGAAAAGTCGCTAGGAAAGCACTTTTAGTCAATATTCCAACCTCGGTTGTCATGACAACGGTGACCTGTCCCTCACTGGTGGCACAGTATATTGTAAAAGATCGATGAAACGAAGCAATAAAGCTTTAGATATGTTCAAACACCATCAGAAAATCGAAATAATATTCCATTATAGAATAATACGGAATTGTTTCTAGCTTAGAATATTGCAGACTTACAATAATATAAAGCATATAAGTTATATATTAATCGAAGGAGGATGGAGAGCAATAACTAAAGTAATAAATTATAACAGGTTACTAAGAAATTCTATAAGAAGAATTGTCTTTCTTTGATATATTTTTTATTAAATTTTAATTTGTTTGAATTATTTATATAGTTTTTAATGTGGTATTATTGTTAAAATGGGGGTTGAAAATCAATTGTCTACGGACATTTCCTTAATTGCACAATAAATAAATAAGTAAAAATACATTTAAGTAAGCTGTAAAGTATAATTATGCATTAATAAAAGTTTAGAATATTTATTTTATTCATTATTTGAAAGGAGAAAAACACAATGATGATCATACTTATAAATTAATCTCTTGAATATCTTTTAAATAAAACGAAAAATATATTATTAAGTTTATATAATAATAATAATTACATCTTTAGTGAAAAATAAGAGAAAAATTAAATTAAAAAATTTAATTAATCCAACATGTTGGATTAAATCTCCACGAAATAAAAGAAGTAAGTTAATTCAGTATTTACGAAGATTTAAATAATGTTTGTTAAATATTAATTAAGATCGAATTCAAAACGTAATAATAAGATCATTAATTTGCTTTTACATAATTAATAATAATATATTTTTATTATCGTAATTTTATATATTAAAGAGACAAACTTAAGACGAAAACATAATTTTATTGTATCTTTTTTTTTCAAATTATAATTTCATTTTGATGACAAACAGAACAAAAAAAAATATTTAAAAAATTTAAAAATAAATCTCTCTTATCGATTAAACTCTAATTAAATTCACTACTACATTTTTTAATCACGTTATTTTGAATTATTTTAATCGATTAATAAATAAATTCCGCAATAAAATTCAATGTTTATAAGCTAAGAATTATTATATATAGGCACGCGTTTAAGTATATATAGCCTAACGTTTTATCATTTTAGAAAATTATTTAGCAATATTTTAAATTAATTTTTATTTTTAATATTAAGGAAGATAATTTCTTATTTTTAAATATATTTCTTTTCAAAATATATATTATATATATATATATATATTTTCGCATTGACATAGTGGATTTCCGAACGCCATTGATGATCAATTAAATTTCTTTTAACCTAGTAAGTGGTTATAGTAAGATAAACTCTTCGACTTTCTATTGAGGATAAGTTGAACTTTCTTTTTTCCTTCAGTTCGCAAGATGGTTCGCTATCTTTTGCACCGTTTAAGGATGAAGGACATTAAGATAGAACGATTTTTATGTTCCGTTTTCGATATATATACCAAGTATGTCGCTATAGAGAAAGAATATGGCGTGCACTATCACTATGAGATGCTTAATGTATGCTTTATAACCGGAACAGTACACATCTCAAACGAGTTTATTGGTCAGTTTATCGATATATTGACCCGATTCATCTCTTTGAATTCTTCTTTTGATAAATATAACACCTGTTTAAAGGATGACAAGTGAACAGATGAGATTGGACACGAATACGTTACGCCAGTTTCTGTACGGGAATTAAATTTTTATAGCAAAAGAAACGAATTTAAAGTAAACCCGCGCGGTTAATTTATTGATAAATCGATATTCTTTCACTTCAAATACTAGTTTTAACAATTCAGAAATGTTGTTATTACTATAAATATATATATATATATATATATATGTAGTTTTTCTTTGTATTAATGTTTATACTTTGCTTACAGGTATATTTTTAAAATATTAAAATGACATTTTTTTGCGGTATAAAATTGCTAGAGGGTCTTTTTTTATGTAGTTTAAAATAATGCTTTTCTGAAAAACTTCTATCGATTTGGTATACATACACACAAATAGAAAAAAATACTGACCCAGTTTTGTTTAATACTCCATAGAAGTTCGGTTTTGAATACATATTATTATTATTTTTTTTAAACGTGTTAGTAGGGTCATACAGACTAAATTATAAGTTAACTCTATACTAAAATAATTTAATAGTTTTTTATATTATACGTCTTCATTATCAGTATATTTAAAATTTAAACATAACATAAAACATAAAATTTAATTACTTATAAATTGCTAAATAATGTTAAATTAATAGCAAAATAAATTTTATATAAAATCGAACATTTTGCTAATTTATAAAATAATAAAAATCAGCAGCAAGAAGAATCACGTTTTTTCTCTCTTTTTGTTTTAAAAAAAATACTTTTTACCGCAAATCTACTTAATATTAATTGGTTGGATTCACGAGAAAAATTGCAAACGGGCTAAATTCGATCCGGTTTTAAATTTGTACTGTTAAACGCATACATTACTTTTAAACGCCACAATTGGAAATTTAATGATACGTGATAAACACTTATAAAGTATATCATTTAGTATTATAACCAATCTAGAAGGTAACTTAGTTGTATTCTCGATTGATTTAAACAATCATCTGAAATCATTAGAAGCATCAGGCAAGGTTTATTTCAATATTTCTAAAGGATAAAGTCATTGCAGAAATCTTTTAAGAATATTTATATATATATACACGTTTCGTGTCATTAATTCTTGCAAAGATTTCCTAGACATCTTTCAAATCATCTCTTTACAATCTCCAGTCGACTATTTACACATACGTAATGGACATTTACTGGAAGGAGATTATGACGACTTCATATCTTAGAAAGAAATTTTTATCTGATAACTCTGCAATCTTTCTTCGAAAGTCTTCTTTATACAACGAACTCTTAATTATTACTATATACTTGCTGAAGGTTTTGAATATATATATATATTTTTTTTTTTCA